ACTGAGCGTGGTGTGTGTGTGTGTGTGTGAGCTGTGTGTGCTGTGTGCTGTGTGAGCGTGTCTGTGTGTGTGTGCGTGTGTGTGTGTGTGAGCGTGTTTGTGTTCATAAACTCTCGCTGAATATTTTTGTTAACTATGGAAAACTTTTTGTATAGAATTTCCCCAACATCCTGGAGCAGTTTTGATATGCACTAATTGCTGTATATATGTAGTTGCTGTATGAAATTTTAAAATTCGAAAAAAATCAAGTGAAACAAAGGCAAATATAGTAGGATTTCTCTCATCATTGTTGTAATGTTTTTCTTATCCGTGTTATAGTGTTACTCTTATCAGTGCTGTAGATATCTATTATCATTATTGTAGGGTTTCTCTTATCACTGTTTCATATTTGTCTCATAATGCTTCGCTTATCTGACCTGCATTGTTCCTGTTATCATTACTGTAGAGTTTCGTTTACCACAACATGTTTCTCTTATCATCGTTGCTGTAGCGTGTCCTTTCTCACTGTTTTATCATCTGTATCGTACTGAGTATTTCCTTATCACTGCGGATGAAACTACGAACTTTGTGATAGGTCTTCAGAGCCATGAATGGTTTGTATTGTTAGGCAATGGGAAGTTAGCCTACGAGGGGATTGGCAAATCATCTGCTGAAACCTAATCTCTAAACGTCCCGTGATGCTGCAGTTCGATCCTTCATCACCATATGGTATTCTAGATGAGATTCTAATGTAATGGCTTTGTTGCTTAATGATTGGTGATAGGTTGGCTTGCTTGGGATTCGGATAGATTTTTTTTCTACAGTGGAAGACTTTATATAGTCTTTCAAAATCGCTTTTGATGTGGTTGCCTTCTTGAGGGGTGTCTAGATCACGAATACTGTTTGAATGATGTACCTTTGCTACGCCATCTGCACAATCAAATTTCGGAGAGGCTGTTGCAGGAATGTCATTGAGGGAAGAATAGAATTTGTTCTCTTCGTGATTTCGTTCTAGTTTTGCTTCCATCCTTACCTCACATACTGAAATTTCTCGTCTAAGTTGTGGATCCTACCAACGGTGTTCACTTTATTTGACACTGTATTGATTTGGCGAAGTTTGCACGTGTTCGTCTAGCAAGTAAACAAGCTACTATCAAGGACAATATGATCCCCCCTGATTTCTTCATTCTCTCGCTTGCCTCTATGTCTGATTTCTTCATTCTCTCGCTTGCCTCTATGTCTGATTTCTTCATTCTCTCGCTTGCCTCTATGTCTGATTTCCTCATTCTCTCGCTTGCCTCTATGTAGGATGTTAAAGCAAAAACTAGTATGAATCCCGTATGGGCAGTAGGCCTATTCGTGCCATGCTGATTCTTTTCGAATGTGGGAAATCAAACTGTTATTAGTTGGGTCGCTGGTTTATGTATGTTTATTTTCTATGATTTTTTTGTTTTGTTTGCCCAATTTGTTGTCTGTGTATGTATATGTATATGTGTATGTGTGTGTGCACGAAAACATACATACTTCAGTGGTGTAGCCAGGAGTGGCATTTACCCATGTCTTAATATTTGTGAATTATTAAGTTATCCTCTGACGTTGAGCAGTTCACCAGTGGCTTTAATGTCATAATTGAAACACAAGGGGAAAATAGTCATCCGAGAAGTAAGAAATGGCTTTAAATACTCTCTTAGTCAGGTTTGTTGAAGCCTAAATGATATTCCACCTCATGTGTCCCCCTTCACACAACGCAGGCGACACACATTACTCTTATCTTTCTCTTGGGAAACTAGTAAGCGCCTAGAGAGGAATGCAAAGGATGGCATGGATTAGGAAACAGGCTGAAGTGGAAGGTATTTTTAGAAGTATTAAAATGACAGAGGGCAGATCACACAGGTGGACAAAACAGGTAACAGACTAGGAAAAGTAAAATTCGGGGGCCAACGGAAGGAATTGAAAACAGCAGGAGAGGCCTACATCCTGTAGTGGAATATTACAGGCTGATGATGATGGCATATATATATGTGTGTATATATACATATATATATTCATGTGCATGCGTGTATGAATATGTGTGGGGGGGGCGCTCATTAAAGATTTCTCCTGACACACTTCCGCTTACCCTAGGAGGATGAAATTTCACATGCATAAAGATGCACATCTCTAAAGGCCATGTGTTGATTTCCATAACATATATTCTGTTACAGCTGTGAAGGTGCAATAAGGTGTGAAAATGGAACCACTGGATTATCAAGCGGTGGTCAGGTTATTATACTTGAATAGCTGCACATATCCAGAAAGAGTCAGAATTGGCGCGAGACAGTGAATGAAACATCCAAGAAAAGAAAGACACAAGTAACCCAACAGAAAAAGTAAAAATATGGGAAGAACACTTCAAAGTCCTCCTTGGCCAAGCACCGTCCCCAAATGGCGAGGAGGAAGAAACTAAGACCATCATTCAACAGACTCTACCAAAAGAAACATGAGAATTCACTATGAAAGAACGGACTTCAGCCATCAAAAC